TTGTTGTACAAGCAAAGTTCAAACTTCAGAGACCAGGATCTATAAGAGCTCTATCACTGTTTAATATTCATCTGAAGTGGTCAAAGCAGCAGGAGAGCAGCATTAGCCTCTCAACACTTTCCCAAACAAAGTTATACTGCACCACAAAATAAATGAAAGAAGACAAACACAAACAAACAGTATCATGCAATAAAAGGAGGACAAACCGCTCACTTTCAAAGTGCACAAGAGAAGTCACAAATTATCCCAATGATCTCATTTGACAGTAACATAATCATAAGAATCTAAATGAAACAGAATCATTTTGATCATGGTTACTATCTGAAGTTTTCCTGCATTTCAGAAGGGGTTTGTGGGAGTTCAAACTTGGTGTGTGTGTTTCTGGCAGCATCTGCTTGGACGCACCGACGCATGAGAATGTTTATCCAACTTTTATGGTGACTGTCTCGTAAAACGGACAGACGCTCTGAGGCAGCTGGCACTCCGCAGCACCGGCTCACCCACAGGTTCACCCAGAGCGACCACCCACCAGGAGACCTGAGCAGATGCATCACCTCTTCGATGACCATTTCAAAAAGCATGTCCAGCCAGATTACTGCGTGAATTACAACCTCAGTTATGGCCAGGACTAGAGCATTACCGCTCTTTCAGAAGTACACGTGCACAAGCAAAGACGCTCTCCAAAAATAAATGCAATTAGACCATGGATTACGATACACTTGGATGCAGTTTGTTCTGCATCATTCCTCTTCCAGTTTCTGTAAAATGTGCCTTCTGAGGAACATGAAATTTTAATACTGAGCTTGTGTAACTTGTGTAAGCTGTGTATGGTTTGAATGTAATCAAAGCCTTTTTCAGTTCAGTCTGATAAACAATGAACAATAAATGCACTGTTTAGGAGGCTATCTGTAACACTAGCTGACCTTCCTCTAGAAACTGCAGTTGTACACGACCTTCTCCTCCCTGCTTCGTTGACCTGGCTGGCTTTACAGGTTTTACATTTCAGCGAGGCTTTTTTGCCCTCTATCTTCTCTACAGCCTCAACACCACCTCTGATGCTCTAATCACATTCCCAGTTCACGTTAGAAGAGGTTTAGCATCGCCAAAACACAGAGAAAGAAAATGAGACAGAAAGAAAAGCAAAGAGACTTTGAAGTTTGTTGCCAACAAGATTTGTGAATCAGCCTGATCCACAACACAGAGACAGACACAAACAGCTTCCCAGAGACACTAAACAGGCAGGCAGACACAAAGAGATGCAAGGACACAAAGATATACAGCTTAACAAAGAAGAGGATGAGTATAATAGAGCTCGAGCCATCCATCGCAACAGAGACCAACACTAATTTCTATATGCGACTCAACCATCTGCATTCCCTGACTGTGGTGTCCAAAAGCTCTGGGCAGGCAGATTCAGAGCCTTTGCCCCCACCTGCTTAGGGCATGATCCGGAGGCCCTGTCTTCCCATGACTCCTTGCAACGCTGCCTGTGTCTGGCACCTCCACCCCTCCTCTTCCTTCATTCCCACAGCTCGCAATAACAATGTCTGACATGTCCAGAACGCTCCCAAAACACTCTTTTCTTTCTTCAATCTCACAAGTCCCCACAGCTCTACCGTATGTCACTCACTTGTGAGGAGAGGGGAGGAAAGCTGGCTGACAGGGGCATCCATACACACTCCTAAATCTGCCAAGGAAAGATGCTGGCACTGACAAAAAAATAACAAAAGCCTCCCAAATCGCAGCCAGGGCAGCACAACACTTTATCTGCAAAGGCAAAACAAAGGAAGGCCTCTTGAACACCCTGACTGTGTTTACTTTCAAGGGGGAACAATGTCTTTAAGAGGAGGGGGCAAGGACCTATGTGGCACTTGAGGGCCTCTCCGAAACCGCACTTCATTTTGATTCACGGTGAGTTTAAGAAAACAGTAGCAGTCTGGTGTATAGGCAGTGGAGGGTCTGAGATGAAGAGAGGACAAGAAACGCACTGTTGAACTGACGGGGAGATGTCTGCAACTGTATTTATTCCTTTATTTAAATGATAGTTTACCAAAAATGTAACTTTTTAATGTGAACATGAGGATTTTAAAATGTGGCTGTGAAAGCTGTGCACTAACTAGATTTGCTTACATTGCTCAGGTGTAGTCAAATCCCGGGACAGAGGCAGTTTTCAAAAACAGCACTGTGTCAGTTTTTTGTAGACTACGGGGGAAAGTGGAAGAGCAGCTTTACACAGCAGAGCTACACGAGCATGATTAGGATCAGTGCTGCACCATGTTGGCTGCAGAGAGAATCCAGTCAGAACCATAACAAACCTTGTCATTTATGTAGGATTCAATCCTACATAAAATAGCCCTTAAAATACCCAGATGAATTTTCTTCATATTTACATTCAGCGGTACTTGTCAGTGAGGTCTAACAAACATGTTGAATGTGTTTCCTTCTTCATTAATACTATTAACTGTATATATCAATCATTTGTGACATAAATCTAAATAAGAAATGATAATATTTCTGGTCAAACCACCCAGCCCTGCATTCAAGCATATTCCACTTCTGCTCACATCAGCGTTGTACAGATGTTTTGTCTTTAACAGCTGATGAGAAACACCTGCTGTCACTCACTGTAGTCAAGTGGAAGCAGTACTTAAAGGTTTAAGCCCAGGTAGAGAAGACTGCCTCAGGTGAGTCAGTGTTACTTCACTCAGTAAGTGTCATGGAGGGGAGGGCTTCTCTCCACTTCTAGATGAAAACAATGCAGGAAGTAGTGAATCAAAACGCTGAGTAAAAAAAAAAAAATCCTCCTAAAAACCATGAATGGAATCTGCACTCACCAACAATGGATGAAGCTGCTGCCAAGAGATTTTTCAGCATCTTTTCCCCAACATTCTGTAAGTCATTGCACAACCTTAAAGAAGTGCCCACTGCATGTCAGACATGACCCAGGAGTTGGACAACAGCACAGACAAACAGTACAAACAAAACTGACAGACCTAATAAACAATCAGTGACACTTAAACTTGCTGCCAAGTCAGGAAAATACAATAATCCATTCTTTCCACAGCAGGACATAGCAGTGTCCTGAGTCGTTTAAGGTCATCGCCATCGATAAAGTTTTCCAAAACATTACACATAGCGCATGGTAAAGGGAGAAAATGACAGCTTTCCCTCATGCATCCAGTCAGCGGGGAGAATGGGAAATGGAGGATGTGAAAGGGTCACAACCCCAGGGATGGAATTAATCCTCCAGCAGCTACCGTGTATCTGACGTATAAACACTGCACTGGAAAAACATTAGTCCAAGTCTGAAAGTTTACACTGCTCTACCACATGTGCGCTGAGGTCCCACTGACAGAGGAGATACAAACAGTATGAATGTGACCTGTTCATTTGCGCTGTTGAAATTATGGCTATAAAGACAACCGCGCTTTGCATTTCATAAAGCACCAGGATATATTTCCAAACATGGAGGGTCATTTGAATTCTCTCATGTTATTAGATCTCATGCTTCTCAAAGAGGAGAGATTGACCAGGCAGCCAGATGGTATGGTAAAGTCATCTCTTACTGGAGTGAGAAAGTTCAAGCTTACTGTAGCATGAAACCAATCTAGAATTTGAAATTTAGGAATGCAGCACAGACGCACTACACTGTATACTCTCATCAGGCCGGCAGTAGAGTCGGCCGGAAAAGGTGATTGCCATCTTTACTGAGGCAAAGTGAGAGAGCATTTGATATTCCCATGTGGCCTGAGCAATCTTTAAGTTAACTAAGCTAACATAATTTTGCCAGGCAGTCTTTAATTTAAATATGAGCTTGTCTCCAAATAATATGACTGCTGTATTGGATTTCAAATTCAATATTTTCAGTGGTTAAAAAGCCATCAATAACAACTGTCAGAGGTACCAGCAGGCTCTTTCAAAATATAGTAACACAAAACACATTTCTGAAGAGAAGGAGCTTTCACCTTTTTGGTTTTTTCCCCCCTGCAAATTCCAATTGATATTAATCATGTGTGCTATCAAGTCTATAATAACATGGCACTTTTAAGTCTTGGTTGATATTTCCAAAAATATATATAAAATCACATTTGACTAGCAGCTAGGCCCTAGCCACCCAGAACTGGGTTTAGGGCTTCCACATAACACTTTAGCGAACTTAACTTAACTCCATCTTTGTTATTTATTTTTTTGAGGAAAGGCCTGAAAAAGGTGCATCACATAGTACAAAATCATTGAACAGCTTAAGTTTCACTTTCTCTGCCCTCAGTATCCTTTCACAGAGTCTTAAAAGGTCATCCAGTTTCAATGGTCATTTACGGCCTGTGGAGACCACCCCAGTGCCAAAACAGCCCCGGGCTCAGAGTAATACTGGCACTGATGAAGTATACCTACACCAGAAGACCATATGAATTTCTTTCTTTTTCATTTCTGCTTGAGACACTGAGGAAATCATCAGGCCCCTTGAACCTGAAACAGCAGCCCTAAATGATTTATATCTAAACTGGGGAAAGTAAAAAGTGGTCTTTTTCTGGTCTGTGCAGTTCAGATCCTTTGATATGTATATTACTGTTCATAGGAGCACAAGGACAACTTCTGCACAAGACATGCAACAACCATTTCCCTTTCCCATGCTGCTCAAATATTAGAGGAGGCACATTCAAGATGAACTGTTATGGCTTGTATGTTTTTGGAAATGGGAAGAATAAAGTTATCATGCCAAAGAACGAGGCCTTCTGTCTCACGTCCAAGAAAATTATGACTGTGCATAAAAAAGGAATTTAAAGCAGACAAAAGCAATAGGTAGCTCTGTTTTATGTATCTCACTCCCTGTTTTTTTCCAGTTCAAATCTTGATCTCATTACACTTATTCCATCCAAATGTTTCTAGCAAAGGCCAGTGGGTAAGTTCATGCCCTCTCCTTGCCAAACAGATGAACAGAGCAGATTACAAGGTGGCCTTCTGGTGCCTGTAGTGAACAGAAAAGTCAGCAGTATACTAACCTCAGCGCGCTGTGTTCTGGGCTGGCTGGCATCTGTCTCAATGGCATACACATCCACCAGGTAGAGGTCAGAGCCTTGTTCTCTGTCCAGCTCTGCAGCTGTCTGTATCACTCCAGTGTGGCGGCCGATGGTGAAAAGGCGCCCCACGGCTTTCCCGCCACAGCGAACTGCCACGATGAAGTACTCCACTTTGGTCGCAGAGCCCCGTGGGCTCGAGGCATCCAGGGAGATGACATTTGTGCCCGGAGGTAGTCCCTCTTTGAGGATGGTTATGTATTTGGGCTGGGAGAAAACAGGGCCATCCACCCCTTGGAGGATGATGGTCAGCTCAGTTCTGGAGGTCTTGCGGTCATTGCCGTGGTCAGTGGCTGACACTGTGAGGGCATACATTAGTCGGGATGGTAACAGCTGGGAAGCCAGACGAATATCCCCGCTATAGCGATCCATGATGAACGTGCCCGAGTCCCCTTCCACAAGCTCATACTCCACTTCCCCGTTTGCCCCCTCGTCAGGGTCAAAGGCCACCACAGTGGTCAGGATGGAGCCAATGACAATGTTTGGTTCAGCCACAAGTGCGTTTTGAGACACAAAAGTGGGAACATTATCATTCTGATCTGTGACCCATACTGTGACGTTTTTCAGGGCAAAGCGGCGGAATTCAACCGGAACTGCCTGGTCTATAGCTTTGATTGTCAGCTCGAAGAGATTGGAAAACTCCCTGTCGATTTCCTTGTTGGTGTATATTAGCCCGGTGCTCGGGTCAATGCTGAAGTGGCTTCCTCTGGGAATCTGCTGAACAATGGAGTACTCCAGCTGCCCGTTAATGTCTGCATCTGTGTCATGAGCTGTAATTGTCATGACTGAGGCTGAGATAGGAAGATTTTCAGGGATGGATTTGAAAATGTCACCAGGGGTAAATATGGGAGGATTGTCATTAAAGTCCCTGACATAAATAACCACAGGAATGGAGGAGAAGCGGGGTGGTCTGCCATTGTCCTTAGCAGTGATGTTGAGTTTGTAAAGTGACTGAGTCTCAAAATCCAGCTTCTTAACCAGAAAGATGCTGCCAGTGTTGGGACTGATGCTGAAAGTGCCATGGTTGTTTGTGGCTGTGATGCTGTACGTTATGTCTGCATTTTGACCTGAATCTGCATCAGTGGCAGTCACAGAGGCCACCAGCTCCCCTATCCTCATGTTTTCCACCACATCCACAGACAGCGAGGATTTAGGGAAGGAGGGTGAGTTGTCATTCTCATCCAGGATGCTAATACTAAGCATACAAGAAGAGGACAAGGGCACAGCTCCAGCATCAACAGCTATAATTTTCAGGGAATAGGAGGATGTGGACTCATAGTCCAGCTTTCCAACTAAAGTGACCTGTCCAGAGTTGCTGTCAATAGTGAACTGTCCTTCTTCATTGCCCTCAGAGATGCGATAATGAACCAGTCCATTTTTGTTCTCATCCACATCTGAGGCAGAGACCCGCATCAGTTGTGTCATGTTTTGAGCCGACTCAAAGATGGAGGCCTGGTAAATGTCTTTGGTGAATTTAGGTGGGTTGTCGTTGATGTCTTGAATGTAAACCTGGACTTTGGCCTGGTCTCTGAGGGGTTTGGGGAGACCTTGGTCTGATGAGATTACTACAAAGCTGAACACAGCGGCGCCTCTTTGTCTCATGAGTGACTCCCGGTCCAACTGCAGTGTGCTGGTCAATTCCCCTGTGATGGTGTTCAGCTCAAAGTTGGGCTGTGGAGTATCAAATATATATCTAACCTCACTGTTTGGGCCAAAGTCCTTATCGTCGGCAAAAACTTGCCCAACCAGCGACCCCCTGTTCTGCTCCTCCTCAAAATAAAACACATAATTTGTGCTGTTAAAGAGGGGACGGTTGTCATTTACATCATCCAGAATGACACTGACGTTAACAGTGGCACTTAGCGGCTCCACAGCCCTGTCTTTGGCTACAACCACTAAGTTGTATCTGTCTTGTATCTCTCTGTCCAGCTCTGCTTTGATATACAGCTGCCCATCTGGAAAAATACCAAACACATCTCCAGTGTTGCCCCCAGCGATGTCATACATAATCTCCCCATTAAGACCAGAGTCTTTGTCTGTGGCCTCCACTTTGAAAAAGCGGCTGTTGATGGGCTCAGACTCGAGGATGACGACCTCGTATGAGAGCTGGTCAAACACTGGTGAGTTGTCATTGACGTCATAAACGCTGACGATGAGGATGAGGCTGCAGGTGTGCTGGGGGACCCCCATGTCTGATGCAATGACCTCAACCTCAAAGGAACTTGTCGTGACCTCCAGCGGCCCAGTTAGTGTGATGAGGCCATGCTTCTCATGAATGTGAAACAGGCCTTTGGGGTTTTGTTTGAGGTTGTAGACCACCATGCCATTTGTGCCTTCATCAGGATCTGAGGCTTTGGCCTGGAATATGACATGACCTGTGCTCCAGTTTTCCACTGCACTCACATGCTCCACAGCATGAATAAAATGAGGAGCATTATCATTTAAATCCTTCACAGTGATGTTGACAAAGGCCTCTCCTGTGATTTCTCCAGCTCTGGCTACAACTTTCAGCTGATAAAAACCCTGCTCCTCTCTGTCTATCTGGCTTGATGCTGTGATCTGACCTGCACTGCTCAGAGCAAAAAGTCCCCTGTGGTCCCCTGAGGTGATCAGATATGAAATATTTGTGTTCAGATCTACAGTGCTGGCTGACACTGTTCCTATAACTGTGCCAGTGGCAGCATTTTCAAACATGACAAAGCTGTAAACCTTCTGGCTGAAGACCGGTGGGTTATCCTGTGTGTCTATGACTGTTAAAGTCACAATGGCTTGCGTGTGAGAGCGCAGGCCTCCACCATCTGCTGCTGTCACCTGGAGCTGGTAAGCGGTTTTCTCCTCTCGGTCCAGGGACACAAGGGTGGTAATTTTCCCAGTGTTGCTATTAATGCGGAATTTGGAAGCATCCCCAGCTGTAATTATATATTTGACTGTGCCATTTCGACCCAAATCGGGGTCTGTGGCCGAAACGGTTGTTACATAAGAACCTGAGGGCTCGTTCTCTTTCACATTGGCAAAATACTGCACAGGGTAAAACACCGGCCTATTGTCATTGATATCCCGCAGGGTGATGTTGACTTTTCCTACAGAGTGTAAAGGAGGGCTACCTGAGTCTGCTGCCTGAACGTGGAGTAAATAGGAGGCCTGATCCTCCCTGTCCAGCTCCCTGGCTGTGCTTAATCGCCCTGACAAAGCATCCAGGCGAAACAGCTCCTGGATGCCGGCTGGAGTCTCTGCATCAAATGAGAACCGGATAGTTCCATTAGCCCCAAGGTCGTCATCTGAGGCAGACAGCACCACCAGCTCAGTGCCAGCAGGAGCGTGCTCCACCAGGGAAACATGATATGTACTCTGTGTAAATGTGGGCACTTGGTCGTTCACATCAGTGATGTTGACTATCAGTTTAGTGTAAGAAATCCTGGGCTGCAGCCCCTGGTCTTTGGCACTAATGTTGAGCACAATTTCAGATGCTATTTCCCTATCCAGCAAAGCAGCACTGGTAACCAGGCCACTGTTTTCACTGATGGAGAACCACCCCAAAGCATTTCCAGACACCAGAGAGTAGCGCAGGTTGGCATTCTGCCCAGAGTCACCATCTGTTGCAGAAACCCCTTTAATGTAGCTCCCTACTGGTATATCTTCACTGATATCTACTCTGTACAATGTTTCCTGGAATATGGGTGGGTGATCATTGATATCATTCACAAAAATAACCAGACTGGCAAAGGAGGACCGAGCCATAGGTTTGCCATTGTCTGACACAGACACAGTCAGGTTGTATGAGGAAATTCTCTCCCTGTCCAACACACTAGCCACTTTGATCAGACTTAAATTGGGCACAGGAGAGGTGTGCACTTCAAAGTGTCTCTGCTCGTTGCCTCCTAGGATTGAAACAGATATGTTACCATTAGCTGTAGGGGAGTCTGAATCGGAAACAGTAAGCAAAGCTACAACTGTGCCAATCTGTGCATTTTCATCAACAGAGGCAAATTTAGAAGTAGTGGGAAAATACCTAAACTTCACCACGGGGTCATTGTCATTCACATCTAAAAGTTTTATTGTTGCTTCTGTTCTGCCTGACAGAGAAGGCACCCCGTTGTCCACTGCGTGAATCGTCAGAGAGTATTCTTTCTTACTTTCATAATCCAAACCTTCTTTTATAGTAATAGTACCTGCTTTAGGGTCAATTTGGAAAGGTGTCCCCTCATCTAAAAAGTACCTGATTTCAGCATTGGCTCCCTCATCCTGATCTGATGCTGTAATCTGCAAAATACTAGAACCTACTACTGCATCCTCAAAAACGCTGGTTTGATACTGATCTTGCTCAAACACAGGGGGGTTGTCATTTATGTCTTGAATAGTGACGTTCACTTGCAGGTAGCCAAACTTTTTCGGGTCTCCTTTGTCCTCCACTTCAATCAGGAGCTGGTAGAAAGGAGAAACTTCCCTGTCCAAGCCTCCAGTTGAAACAAGGTGCAAGAATGCCCCCTCTCCACTAGGATTGACTGTAATATCCAAGCGGAATTTCCTCTGCTCGTTGCCTTTCACTATTCTGTATGTGGTGTGATCAACGCCGTTACTTCCAATGTCCGAATCAGTGGCGGTGTCCAGGATCACTTGTCTGCCGCTGCTGGCGTCCTCCTTAAACGATACGACGATTGATGCATCTGGAAACACTGGGGAGTTATCATTAATATCCAGAACTACTATCCTGACCTCTGTGGGGTAGGTGGGTTGGCTGGACAGCACCACGACATTGATTACATTACTTTGCAAAATCTCTCTGTCAATCACTGACGAGGTGTAAATGACTCCCGTGGTGCCGTTAATTGCAAAAAGTTTATGGCTCTCGCTGAAGCGGTACGTGAAGCTGGGCTTAGTCTCTATTGTGCCCACGTAGGTGCCGATAGGCTGCTCCTCCAAAACCTGAAACTCTTGACGGACTTGGCTGGATGCTGAGTCCTGTGACAGAGTCCATAACATCAGTAAAATCAAATGAAACCGGTTTAAGCTCCTACCTGTGAGCGCCATGGTCAGTTAGCCAGTCCACCTTTCTCAGACAGAGTCCATGCCTACGATGCATCAACTTCGCCGATGTTGGACGTTTCACTAAAGCATTGTATTCCAGCAAATGTGCGAAGAAAACACAATGGGAAACCCAGTTACGGCTCTTTCCACACTTCTGTAGTGTCCCAAAGTAATCCTAAAGAGTTATTTTATCCTGCGCAGCGCGCTGTTCCAATGCAACAATATCCTCTGAATGGAGAGAATGATTCCCGCAGATCAGGGAAAGTTTACTTCAACTCCTCTAATAGCATTATCAGAACGAAATCTGACAATCCCTTGCAAGACAACTAAAAAGTCCCTGGTTCCTTGGAGATGCGTAAAAAAGTTTATCCAAAGTTAGGGCGCACTGAGCGTATCCAGACGTCTGAACCTACGCACCATCCCGTGAAATAACGGTACAGGGGCTTCAGTCATATTGTGATCAGGAGTCTCAGTAAGTTAGGACAAATCTGGAGTTCGGCAAACTCCCTCCCCTCACTGATCCCATTGGACAGCGGTGCTCCTGCCCTCCCTCTCATTGTCCCTCTCCCCTCCATTGTGCAACGCAGCCCGTTGTCCCCGCTCGTAGAACAGGATGTCAATCAAACGAGACAGGTAAAGTTCCCCTGTGCCCTCTTAATGACCTCATTAACAAATGACACTGTCTTCATAAACTCAGAGGATGAAAGTCACTTTTCTTCGCTTTAGAAAAAAAAAGATCGGGTCATAGAAGTACTTTACAGAATATCAAAGTATATTCACAATAAATAAATGTTTTATAAATATCATAGAAAGTAAAACATAATGTAGCTAAAATATGAAAAAGGTACCTAAATATTTTTTGAGTACAATATAATCCGATCTGAAAGGTTGAGCATTATAATAATTCCATCAAAGGTTTCCAAATATTATAATTATATGTCATAACAAATGCCATCAACCGCAGGTAAACATATTAAAGAATATCAGTGCCATAAGTTGCTGTAGAAAAAATGTTTTATTGAAATAGTAATTTTGGTGAATTGCTATTCAATAAAATAATGTATTTGTACTGCAAATGCTTGTATTAAAAAGGAAGAAATGGAACCAAATACTGTTAAAATATGTGTATATTCAATCATAAGAAGGCGTCGAATAAAGCTTCTTGTTTGTGGCTTTTCCAGAAGTCATCATAACAAGTGAGATATAGTGAATGTAAAGAACATAATGAGACTTCACTACCGTGGGTTAGTGTCGCCATCTAGTGGCCAAATTATTGTAGTGGAACATTTCAGTAAATATTTGAGCTACTAGTGCTGCGTGAGAAAAATATCCATATAATATTAAGCTTCTAAGTATTTGACCTTTTGTACCACGCAACCAGACAACATGCATAACATGGTAAACACACAATTGCCAGAACTTTAGACTTTCTCTTGTAGAACTTATTTATTTACATTTCTATGTCTGCAAACGTATTAGTTCATCCTGCAAGATGAGATGGGCCATAGCATCAATGTGTGATCATAGCAGAGGAAAGATATAAACAAAAAATTATATTTTATAGACTAAACAGTATTTGGACAAAATAAGGCTTAAGACTACAGTTAAATCTGGACAGCAGTTTTGTGTGTGTGTGTGTGTGTGTGTGTGTGTGTGTGTGTGTGTGTGTGTGTGTGTGTGTTTTGCATCTACCAAATATAACTTTATTATAATTACTGGCAAATGTGTAACTGAAGATTTGTCTAGAAAACCCACTGATTTAATTTATTGTCATTTAACTTTAGCTTGATGGAAATTTTTAAACCTTCTAACTTTAACTTTTAAAAAGTCATAAAGCATTAAACAATGTTAAGTTCAGTACTGAAGAACATAAAAACATTGAGCTATTGTCCATTTGTGCTGTGATGAACAGAACATTTTCACACTGATGCACCCTTATTCTTTATGCATTAAACATATTATCATCTGCATTTCACTTTTATGAAATCACAGCCTAGAATCTAGAAATGAGGCAGATTATGTCACTGTTTTCAACAAAAAACAACTGAGGGGGGTTCACATATAGACCAGAAGAAACTGAGCACGTCCAGAAACGTCCATTTAATAAATGTCCACATAGGCTTTACTGAAAACTGTAACTCTAGAGGGGGGTGAAGCCTGGTGCTGAACCCCTGTGCTGTGCTTCATCTGTCCTGTCAAATAACATTAAAAAGGATAATAACAGCCCTCTGGGTTTTGACAGACAAAAATGTTTATTCAGGTTTGGTATTTAACAGTTTGTGGCTTCCGTAATCAAGCTGTTGGCTGCCTGGACGTTAAGTAGGACCGAAGTCAACTAATGTAATTGAATTAGAGACTGGGCTGCTCAGCCTGCGCTGCCTGACACAGATTCAATGTTTTGGTAGCAGACAGAGCATCAAAGCAGATTATTTTTGTGCAGGAGACGTTTGGTTAACCTGATTACACTGACTAAGCCAGGAGCTCATTTAATAGAAATAGCAAGTTGTTGCTATGTTTGAGCTAAATCCTTTATACTGACCAATGTTTTGTATCTGCTGCAGCTGATCCCTGCACTAATTATGACTTAGACGGGATGTTGATCCGGCAGCGTGCACTAACGTTGAAGACACATGCAAATACAGTAGTGAACTGAGAAGCAGCTCCTGTAGAAGCTTGTTTTAAGTTTGTACAACTGTCTGCTCTCATATTAAGTTATGGAGTTGTTGTGACTGAGTTCACAATGGACTAAACCTTTTTTAAAATATGAATCAAATCAGTTCCGTACATGGATTCATGTACTTCCCAGCTCAGTGGTGTGACTTTACATCAAAAGTCTGATGTGAACTTTTTCTAGGAGACATTAAACACCCTTCATATTAAGACTTTGGCCCTAAAGGCAGAGTGGTCAGTCACTTTGCTTCAGTGCAAGACACTCAAACAGCTACTGGCTAGACTGCTAACTGCAGACTGTTGTGGGTATTCACTAACTGCAGCAGAAGTTTCTCAAAATGTTTGTTGAACCTTCTTATTGTTTGCCTGGTACCTCTATCAGCTGGCTAAGGCTGAGAAACATGGTTGAAATCAGTATAGCAATTTTATAGGAATATTTTTTGGATTGGCTAGATACTGTATATATCACAGCAAAATTATATAATGGACAATCAAAACGAGTTTCACTGCAGTGTGATTACATGAGTGTGGGCCAGCTTTCACTTGTGCACAAATGAATTCAGACCCTAGAAGGCAGACGGCCTTGTACTGAGCAGAACAGAAGACAAAACCTCTGTTCTCTGCAGTCTGTAAGCTGTTCCTTGCACAGTGTCACATAATGAAATAATCACATAATCTAACTGTCAGATTGGCATTAAATATTCTAAGCAAATGTGGCCTCCCGAGGGGATGGACTCTTTTGAGTTAAATGATCTCATGGCCTTTCTTCTGGGAAATGTCTGAAGTGCTTTAAATTAAATTTTAACTTTAGCCCCCAGATGTGCTGAATCTCCAGTATTTGATCAGACACTTTGAATTGTGCTAGTACAATAAACACTGCAGCTGGCTGGGGGTGGAGGGGGGGTGGGGTGGGCTTAAGGCTTTGCATCTTACTCTTTTTTCAGACCGGGACTCGAAATGATTTTGCTAACTAAAGCAGAAACTAGGTTCCTGTCAACAGTTTGTTGTGTGATTGGGTGAATTTAAGGAAATTCTAAGGGGAATGATTCTATATCAAAGTAATCATTTACCAGGTGTCTTTGAGCAGCCCTACCAACTTTCAGGTTTGTAGCTGACCCCAAACTCTCCCTTCTAGAAAAAGCTAATAAAGTATCTCATCATGCTGTAAGTGTATTTAAAACTAGAACAGAAAACCCAGTAAAGTGTGAAGAGCACACTCATGTTTAACATAAGATGAAAGGAAACCAAAGAGACAAGAGAGATGAGAATGTTGCTCATTTGTTTAGAAGACAGCTTGTAGTTTAACATTACCTTCATTTGGCAGATGCTTTTGTCCTGTTTGGCATTTCTTTGAGTTTCACTGTAAGAGAAACAAACTATCAATTCTAAAATGAAAGGCTGACCTTCAACACCAGCTCAGCTACAGCTGTCCGCTAGATTTCGTCACATCATGCCCACAAGAATGTGTCGGGCAGCCTTTTCTTTTGCAGTAGTGAATTGGTTGGATACATGTCAAATAGAAGAGTGAAATCCCCTCAGTGAGACTACTTCAGACCATGAAAGGCTGTTTCCTCCACTCTAAGAAAGCTTAGGACAAGTACAGTGCCTACTCATAAAATCCATCAGCATATTGTAAAGTCAAAGCTCAGTCATAAAGATCAGATGCAGGAGTCAATGAGAAGATGAAGGGCTGCAGAAATGAAAACCAGCCATTCATTCACCACGTCTCCTGTGAAGGGTGCGGAAATGAGATCTGACCTGAACACACTGAAGCAAAAAAGGACAAACAGGTTTGAACTTGAACTTGAGTTAAGTTAAATATGAGGACCGATAATGGGATGCTAATCATCAGGTTTTCATTCCAGGGCACTCGAGCACGGTTTTCAGGGTCAATCCTGTCTCATCCTTCAAGGGTCACGGAGGGTAAATTGGTACTTTTTTACAAGCGAATCGCTGGTTTCAGTCTCAGGCAACAGGAGTTGAGTTGAATAGGCTTTTAAAAAGCGAACTACAAAAAGGTTATTGTATGCCTCGGGGAAGTGAGAGCCAGCAAAACAACACTGCCTTCTCTTCTAACACCAAGTGTGTGAAGGGCTGAGCATTAATGCTGACTGTGAATCTACTGCATGCCTGTGTTTGTTTAACATGCTTCTGGGTTTTAAATTGTCGTCCTGGTTTTCTGTGGCAGTTTTCCCAGCGACCCCTTGTCACTGAGTTTAATGGGAGGCCTTGCTGTTTCCCAGCATGCTTGCCTTCTCCCAGTTTCCATCTGCCTCGTTTGCTCATGCTAAGGAAATCTCTGTGCGAGGAAATTAAGATCAGCCAGAAAAATTCTGCTGCGGAGTGCATTACGTGGGCATTGTCTGAGATATCGTTTTCAACAGCATTTATTTTGAGGGGGAGGGACAAATACTGCAGCCATATTGAAATGTTAAATTGCAATCTAGAAATCTTTTGATGAAATATACAGAAGATGTTTCAGTATTTTCACAGTAGAGTGACTCAGAAGTAGGAAAAGGGTGAGATGATGACAAGGGATGGAGGGGTTAACCCATCTTGGCACACTCACTAATGAAGCCGCATGTGCTTTATAAATTATTAGTTTGATGGTCTTAATAACTTAAGAATGTCACTGACATGCGCACACACATCCACACATGCTCATGTCTGAGATGAACTGAAATGCCAACTTTGAGTCAGGCCTCATCAGCCAACATCAGTGTGAACGGGAGCTGGTCCCTGCAGCCA